CGAATTTGCTGGGAATGAGTCGTGGCGAAACCTGGCGCCAAATGGCGCCAATTTGGCGCCAGCGCCAAAAATGGATGTCACATTCGTGATCAGGACCCTCGATAACCCCTGTAGGATAAGTTTCAGCGAAATTTTTTTTGCCGAAATTGATTGCAAGGTTTACGAAATTGCTTGCAAGAATGACGAATTGGGCGTTAGAATGACGAAATTGGTTGCAACGTTTACGAATTGGGGTGGAAAACCATGTATCTAAACGAAATGTCTTGTTGTATACCCTACCTGTTAACTTTCGACTGCCCTTTGAGGTTTCTGTGCCTAAGTATAATAACCCATGCTACTGACACGTTATTGTTTTGGTGCTCTTGTTCAGCTCTGTATTCTCAATATTACGTGACCCTCGTAACGGTGATATTCTTACCAGAACGAGTAAACGATACCACGAATTATCACCACATGATCATTGTTTATTAGGTGAACGATGAAGCAACACTTCTCCGCATAAATACAATCCGAGCGCTGCAGAAGGGTGTGGTTCACTATGACTGCAAGTGATTTTCGCGTTTCGCAGCGCGAAACATTCCTCGCTGCGGGAACCTCAGGTCCACTGATGATCAGCGGTGGACCTGAGGTTCCCGCAGCGAAAAATGTTTCGCGCTGCGGAAAAAATTCGCTTTCTGTCCTTAAACCAAACCCTTCAGACAAGAATATTTCATTGCATGATAATCTAGAGTTAAAAGATGTTCACGCAATAGTGCTGAAACAAGAATAACAGAGTCACCGCGTACGTACAACATTGGAATCGTTCTTTTTGTTTGTCGATATATCTCTTCAAACGATTCTTCATCCACTTCTGAGGTTGTAACCGTTTCTTCAACCTAAGCAGAACATTCATTGAATCAACGAAGACAACATACGTTGAGACTTATAGCAAAAACCACTCTAAAAACCTCACGTTCGATAAAATCATGTTGAGGTGTTGATCGTAGGCATGAAGTCGACCGCGAATCTGAACAATTCCGGAAGAACTCCTCAAATAACACTAGCTAGTATTTTCAAGTGTAAAAATCATCAACACATAGCAATGGTTGGATCTCCGTTCGCTTCCCGAACCGCGACATCTATTTTTAACAGTGCCGGCCACGTCACCCCGTCCGGCAACCTCCCTAAAAATTGAATGCGAATTCTCCATTCTTTCTAATCACTGATGTTTGTGAGGAAAAAATTATTTCTCCACATGTTTCGCTGGTTGCGCTGTCACAACAATTTCAGTTTAATATTAAACGAAACATGAAGTGGCGCTTGGAAAGTTCTAAAATACTCGAAACCCAATTGTATTACTTTCCTTGGTTCAAACTTAAATACTAACTCCAACATTCATATATCGTGCTTTGCTTGAAAGCAAAACAGCAGCGACTGATCTAACGACTCTCCACCATTTCTGCAACAAGTTGCACATCCTTCTGACTATACTCATTTGGGGGGATCCAAAACAAGGAGGCTTTTTTCATAAAATTAAGGAAAAAAACGCCTAGACCCTATTGGCAAACACGAGAAAAAATCGTTCATCCATCCATTAACGGGGGGGGTATACACGGATACTCAGCCAATTCAAACCGGGGCTTACCATTTCACTCTCTCACCTGCGCTCTCTCGCATAACCAGCGGCTTATTACTGTGATCTTACGTACTAAAACTTTGCCACAATACAATTGGCTCATTCCACTACGAAGTCCTCCCTTGCAGGCTTAGTCCCATAACTCTCACCTTCTTGGTTGCGATTTGAAACCGAGCCCGGCACCGTACTCTAATCGTTTGTGCCCTGGCCTTTCTCGTCAGAGAACATAGGGGAGAGTTCAAGTAGTCACTCCTTAATCTGCGAGAGGGGCATATGGTGCGACAGTCCATATTGCATAAGTATCTCACTTTTTCAAAAGGTGAAAGCTTCCGTATATGTTGTAGATAAAAGCGAAATGGTCAACGCACCCCGGAATTCCCTCCGCTTGCAAAAAACTTGGAATTCCTGCAGCCGGCAAGAACTGTCACATCGCATGCTCCCCCCCCCCCCCCCCCCCCTTTCCTGGATGGACCCCGAAAAAAAGCTTGGCCGTCAACGTTTCAAAATAAAACTGCATACGCATTAAAAACATTGATGAAGTGAAAAAAAGTACTCAACACCTATAAAAGCAAGATGAGAAGGGTCTGACGGACTACTTGAACTCAGCCCTTTACCGCCTCTGCGCTCTCTAGCGGGTCCCTCTCCTCTCTCAAGGCTTAGTCCTAGGGCATTCTCTAATCGTCTGTGCTCTAGCCATCGCGGCAGGACCATTGAGGAAAAATCAAGTAGTCCGTAACCCTATAAAGCAAGATGAGAAGTCCACGACAGGACCTAACTAACCTCTCTATCGTTACGCATCTTTACATAGACTCTCTCATCAAGACTGAGTTTGATCAGATCAAGAGGTTCCTCCACTGTGCTAGAAAGCATCTGCAAACTTCATTTACAATGAAATAAATGACAAAATAGCCAAAATAATACGTAAGAGGAATACAATAAGAGTAAATGGAAGAAAAACACTCAAAGCCTGGCAACCTGAGGCACTTCTTTTTTCTCGGCCATTCTTAGCGAAGGTCTAAGGTAACCTGCTAAAAAGAGTGTCCGTGACTATTTGACTTATTACAAAATGTCTGCCAGATAGAATTTCGGGCAAAAAACGCCTGGAGACGTGAACTCAACAAGTGCAGGATATATTTATTACTGCGATCGCGCATGTAAGATCGATATTTCAAAGTAGAAGTTACTTTACGATGATCAGTCAACAATATATGAAAGATTTCGGACATTATAATAAGATAATATTACACAAAAAGAAAACAGATGAGAGCTGCAACTAGAAATGCTCCGCAGAGGAAAAACCAGAACCTAACAATAAAATGGGGCCCTAGAAAAGAAGGAAGAAAAAAAAAACATTAAACAGTGTAAAAAAGCGGAATGGAATAGAATAAACAATTATCATACAACCCCAACCTGGACAAACTTCTTAACCGTAAGAGACCCTAGCAGAACTAACATAGTGTAGCTTGGCTTCAGGTTCCAAAAACCCAATGGGACCATATTCACAGTCGGCACAAGTCAAGTACTTCATACCATCAACAGAATTCGTGAAGCCAACATTCTCGAAGTCGTACATGTCACGTACCATCCAGAATCCAGAGACAGCTTCCTAAACTTGTGCACGTTGGATTCAGAAACTAGGTAAGGCAAATTCGCGATCAAACTATGGACAATATTGAAAGTCCTCAAAAATATCACATATCTGGAAATAATCCCCTAAAAAGCGACCAAACCACGACCTCGGCGACTTTGGAAGCCGGAATAGAGCGCAAACAAACCAAAACAATGAGTGATGAACGACCAATCATCTCAGAGATCATCATAAGGCAAGCCGCTATCGAAGGAAGAAGTAAAAACCTGGCTGTTGTTCAAACAGACCGGGAAAAACAAGCAAATAAGCAGTGAAACGAGACTAACTAAAGTGAATGAATATTAAATGTGTCATGGAACTCACCTTCTGGGTATCTACGTCTTTTTGCTGTCGACATAATGGCAGTATTTCTTCCCTATTAGTCCAACGGCCAACTCCTGCTAGCAAAATTACACTGTTGCAGATGCCGCATATAAGACGCTGATCATTAGGTGAACCTTCAGTCGCGCTTGACGTCGACTCCTTGAACATCATTGGATTAATTGGATCAAACAGGAAAGAGAGAAAGGAGTATGGATAAACAGAGGAACCGTTGCACTCACTTTCGGATCCGTCGACAATATCGTAGTGGACGAAGGATTGGATGAGCTCATCCTTTAGCTTTATTTGTCTGAACAATAAAAAATAACACGAAAGTAAAAAAGAAAAACAGAGAAATATTGGTCACCTGTACAAAGAAGCGATCTTATCACGTTGACGTTGTTCGTTATTCTGAATGTCTGGTATCAAAAGTACTGCTTCTCGTAACTGTTCCAAGCCCGATTCAACTTGTCTCAGACGAACGGTCAACTCAGACCCACTCCCTTTTTCAAACCTCAAAAAGATTGGCTGAATTATTGATTCCTCTTGGTCCATAACATTACAAGTTCTAAACTGCAAAACAAATGACTTACGAACAAATGAGGTGAAGCAACTCGGAATAAATCTTATTGAGGCTGTTCTGACACTGTTCTTCCTTGTTATCAGCAGTATTCATCCAGAGGGAACTTCCTCAAAAATCAGTTTTATATTCTTGACGAGTTCCAGAAGCC